TATGATGCCATGGCACTCTACCCAAGGGACAGCTTGAGGCTCTGTCTCAAAAAAAAAAAAAAAAATCCAGATGCTCTGGCTTAGTACCTATAGCTCAACATCTAGGGTGCCAGCCACATATACCAGAGCTGGCGGGCTCAAATCCAGCCCAGGCCTGCCAAACAACAATGACAACTACAACCAAAAAATAGGCATTGTGGTGGGCGCCTGTAGTCCCAGCTACCTGGAAGGCTAAGGCAAGATGATACTTAAGCCCAAAAGTTTGAGGTTGCTATGAGTTGTGACCCCACAGTACTCTACCCAGGGTGACAGGTTGAGACTCTGTCTCAAAGGAAAAAGGAAAAAAAATCCAGATGTTCCCATCCTCACTTTCTAACTTTTCACAGAGAGTTTGAAAGGGAAATACTGAAAGAGAGCCAGGTGGGGAAAGGAATGGACTCTTCCCACCCTCCTGACTCAGGTTGTCTATTTCTGCCTGCTGCGGCCAGCAGGCAGAGGGGCCAGGACTCCTCCACTGGGCCAGGCTGAAGCATGGCCCTTCTCAGCACAGTGGTTCTCAGACCTGGTCTTCACCTCCAGGGCCTTCCTCTCTTCCTGAACACTCCTTTCCCAGACTGCTGGCAGGTTTATAGTCCAGGCTGTGATCCAGAGGCAGAGGTGGTTCCAGAAACTTCCATCCCCTCGTTACGTCTTCTGTTTGCCTTGCATTGGAGTAAACATTTCAGATCATCTGTCCTGACATGGAAGCAGTCAGTCTCTTTGCTTTCACATGTTTGGATTTGGTAAATAAAATGTACCATTCAGAGCCCAGCACAGTGTCTTACGCCTGGAATCCCAGCACTTTGGTGGGGCAAGGGAGAGGTTCGTTCATGACCAGCCTGAGCAGGAGCGTGACCCCATGTCTACTAAAAACAGAAAAACTAGCCAGGCATCGTGGTATCTGTAGTCCCAGCTCCTTGGGAGGCCAAGGCAGGAGGATAGTCTGAGTCCAGGAATGTGCAGTAATCATGTCACTGTATTCCAGCCTGGGTGACAGCAAGATTCTGTCTTTCTTAAAATACAAAAAAATACCATTCAGTAGATTAGGCTGATGCTCAGGCCACCTGATGTATGCCTCTCTCCACTTGTTCTTTTCCTTAGCACCATTTTCCATCTTGTAGATTATAGCACTTAGATCTGAAGTGTCAGGTATGGGAAGCATGTCACGGCTAGGAGAGTATCAACTGCATCTGGGAACCAGACCTCCTTTCCCAGCCCTGGCAACCCTATCGTAGGGCTTTCCCATGGTCCCACACGACAGCTGCTCAGAACATGGATAAGAGCAGCGCCCCTCTGTCTAGCTGGCCTGACCTGCCATCAGCTAACCCTGAGCTGATGCTGAGCAGGGTGAAGCAAGGCTGGCCTGGGCCAGCACAGCTACCTCCCCGGCTGACCTGGCACTGTGCTCCATGTGACACCTATTTGTTCCAGGCCTGCGCTATCATCCTTCACACTCAGTGGAACAAGAGGCCCTGAGGCCTGTGAGTGACCATCTGCAGGGCCACTGGGCACTGCTAAGGCTGCTGCAGAGCCCAGGCCCCTCCTCTCAGAAGCCAGGTCCACAGCCCAGGCACAGCCACCCTCTGTGCTTCACCTTTCACCTGCCTGGATACCTTTGTCCCCTTCTATTCTCTCCCTTCCAATTCTTTGTCACTAAATCCGTGTCCCAGGCTACCTTATTAGAGGCCAGGCTCTCCTTGGCCTTCTGCAGGAACAGCAGAGGGTTCTGGAGAGGGACCTCACAGTATGACCCTCACCGGGCATGGACTTCTCTGCCCCTTGACAGGTCGCATGGAGTCACTGTGACTGCCAGATGCCTGACTCAGCCCATTTCCACACAGCTTGGCAGGCACTGTGGGGAGGGGCTGCTGATGGTGTCACTCTTTGTCCTCAGAACCTCCCAAGATGAACCCGGTGGTGGAGCCGCTGTCCTGGATGCTGGGCACCTGGCTGTCGGACCCGCCAGGCGCTGGCACCTTCCCAACAGTGCAGCCCTTTCAGTACCTGGAGGAGGTTCACATCTCCCATGTGGGCCAGCCCGTGCTGAACTTTTCGTAAGTCACTGACTCCACATACCCCCCCCACTGAAAATACCTAATTCCAAGCTGACCAAGGACAGACCAGTGCTAGGCAGGAGGGTTACAGGGATTGTGGCTCTGTTTCAGAAAGGCACCCTCTTCCTTGCCTGAACCTGGCCACTGAGACACAAAGTTGGTCAAAAGGGTACCATTTGGGCCACGGCAGGTGCCTCCTGAGGGGCCGACAGGGTGTGTTCTGTTTGTGAAACTGTCAGGCTTACCACAAAGTTACAGATTTGTTAATCTACATGTGCAGACAAGTGTACACGCTCAATTCCTGTATGAAAATTAGTCACCCCAATATTGCTGAAACTAAGAGGGCATGGCTTCTTCTACACTTAGCCCTGAAATCTCTGAGGTCCTAGGGAAGCTGCTATATAGCACTAGTGGTTCCAGAGTCTTAGCACATAGCAAAGTGAAGTCCTGCCCCCAACTCCACTCAGGAGAGCAGGTAGTGCCACTTTGAAGGCAGTAGACGGCCATGTGGGGTGTCTGAAAGAGAGAGGGCCCCCTGGTACAGGGGGAATAGAAGTGCTTAGGATGTATTTATTTGTTAATTACAGAAGAAATATTAATTTTTTATTTTATTATTATTTTATTTTATTTATTATTTTTTGGCTGGGGCTGGGTTTGAACCTGCCACCTCTGGCATATGGAGCGGCGCCTATAGCTTAAGCAGCTGAGGCACCAGCCACATACACCAGAGCTAGTGGGCTCAAATCTAGCCCTGGCCTGCCAAACAATAATGACAACTAGGTGTTGTGGCGGTGCTTGTAGTCCCAGCTACTTGGGAGGCTGAGGCAAGAAAATCACTTGAGCCTAAGAGTTGTAGGTTGCTGTGAGCTGTGATGCCACAGCTCTCTACCCAGGGTGACAGCTTGAGGCTCTGTCTCAAAAAAAAAAGAAAAAAAAGTTTAAACAGTTAAGTATATAGAATAAAAAGCAAAACTCTTCCTTCCCCAGTTTCCAGTGTACAATTACATGTTAAGATTCTTTCTACATCAACATGGCACTGCCAGGCTCAGGGGCTAATGCCTATAATCCCAACACTTTGGGAAGCCAAGTTGGTGGATTGCCTGAACTCAGGAGTTTGAGATCAGCCTGAGCAAGAGGGCATCTCTACTAAAAAAATAGGAAAACTAGCTGAACGTTGTGGCAGGCACCTGTAGTCCCAGCTACTCAGGAGGCTGAGGCAGGAGGATCTTTTGAGCCCAAGAGTCTGAGGTTGCTGTGAGTGCTGATGATGCCGTGACACTCTACACAGGATGACATGACAGAGTGAGACTCTGTCTTAGAAAAACCCAAAACTTCCACATAAGAAGATTTCTTTTTTTTTTAAAATGCTATTTCATACCCTTTTTTTTTTTTTTTTTTTTTTTTTTTTTTTTGCAGTTTTTGGCCAGGGCTGGGTTTGAACCCGCCACCTCCAGCATACGGGGCCAGTGCCCTACTCCTTTGAGCCACAGGCACCGCCTCCATTCCCCCCCGCCTTTTTTTTTTTTTGAGACAGAGTGGAGTCTCACTTGGTCACCCTGAGTGGAGTGCCATGATGTCATATGTCATAGCTCACAGCAACCTCCAACTATTGGGCTCAATCGATCCTCTTGCTTCAGCCTCTGAAGTACCTGGGACTACAGGTACCTGCCACAACACCCAGCTATTTTTTGTTGTTTAGCAGGCCCTGGCTGGATTCAAACCCACCAACCTCAGAACATGTGGCAGGTGCCCTAACCACTGAGCTATGGGTGCCCAGCTGTTTTTGTATTTTTTTTTAAGAGACAGAATCTCATTTTGTTGCCCTCAGTAGAGTGATGTGATGTCACAGCTCACAGCAACCTCCAGCTCTTGGGCTTAAGTAATTTTCTTGCCTCAGCTGGGACTACAGGTGCCCACCATAACGCCTGGCTATTTTTTTGTTGCAGTTTGGCTGGAGCCAGGTTCGAACCCACCACCCTCAGTATGTGGGGTCGGTGTCCTATCACTAAGCCACAGGCGCTGCCCCATTTTGTATTATTCTTGACTGGATGAGGGCAAAGTAATATCTCTACACATAAACTCAAAGGTAGAAATTCTGGATAGTGCAAAATAACCCAGAACAATATTAGCAGTCTTTTTAAACTATGGATTATGACCCACTAGAGATGCTCAGAAAGTCAATTTTGTGACTAGCATTAAAAGAAAGATGAAAGAAGACAGTAGAAACATACCTGGATAAATGTAATGGCGTGCGTGTTCTGTGTGCACTGGGTCACCAGAGAAAACTTCTCTGGGGTGGAGAGAAGCAAGTGTGTGCCCGGCACATAGGGCGTGGCATCAACATCAACCTACCACAAGTTTCTCTCAGTGGCAGAGATGGAGTCCCCATAGCAACTCAAATGCTAGAGAAATGATAAATGAGTGAGTTCTAATTGTAGGTTTGCTCAAGATACAGGTTTTTCTTTACTGTCATGAAGTTGCAGTAATGATGGTTGATCAGAAGCTATTCCCAAGTAACTCAGCACTTGTATCTGTTACTATATGCATTAATCCGACTCTTACCAAGAATATAGCTCTAGAGGAAAGTTGTGTTAGAGTGGGATTTTACAGGAATTGTCTCCAGTATTAATGGAGTATTAAGCACCAAGATCTCTGTAGCTGTCGGGGCTGAAAAGCCCTATGGGAAAAGGACCCTGAGATTGTTAGGAATAAGCTTCTGTCTTCAAGAGCTGATGGTCCGCCAGAAAGAGAGACACGGGTCCGGCAGGCTGGAGGCACCTGGGCCTCAAGCAGTCGTGCTCAGCGTGCGGCCCTGGCCCCACGTCCTGACTTCCCACCCAGGTTCAACTCCTTCCACCCGCACACGCGCAAACCCATGCACAGAGAGTGTGGCTTCATCCGCCTGGAGCCTGACACCAACAAGGTGGCCTTCGTCAGCGCCCAGAACACAGGTGAGGCCGGGCTGTTGGCTGGGCACAGGGGCTTGTGGGGGTGACTGCAGGGAAGGCACTGTCGGCACCCTGAGCAGGTTAGCTTGGCAGCCTGCACCTGTGACCCTGCTCCTCCCGTGTGCTCGGGCCACAGGACACTGACTAGGCTCCACTCTACCTCCACAGGCGGTGCAGCTTTTGCTGCCACAGGTGCCACTGGGAACACTGGGGTTGGTTGGCCCCACGTGGGGTCATTCTGAAGTAGTCATTTGCCAGTTCCTTAGAAATGGCTCCAAAACAGCCTTGAAGCTCACCCAGACGAGGCTCACTTCCTGGGTGTGGAGCAGAGCAGGGCGGAACTGTGGCTGCATCTGGGGATGTGGCCTCACATGAGGCTCTTCCCAGCGCCAGGGCACTGCGGAGAGGGCGACCCTCCACCTTGTACCTGCCTCCCTTCTGTGAGAAGAGTTGTGCCTTCCCTTGATAGCCTCACCACGAAGCGCAGCTGAGGAGAGTTGTATGTAATCTGCATGGCCACGAAGTTCGGTCTGCTGTCGGACCTCAAGTGCCTTGAGCACGGTGACAGTGGTTGCAGCGGAGAGCCCAGCATCTCCAAGTTGAGTGACATGGCCTTCCTTTGCAGGCATCGTGGAAGTGGAGGAGGGCGAGGTGAACGGGCAGGAGCTGTGCATTGCATCCCACTCCATCGCCAGGATCTCCTTCGCCAAGGAGCCCCATGTGGAGCAGGTGAGCCCTGCCCAGCCCGGCCCGGCCTGCTGGTCTCCCTGAGGAACCTGTCTGGCTGTCTGGGCTGCCAGCCTGCCTCTGCTGCTTTGTGCTGTCTTCTCACACCCGGTGCTTCCCGGGCCTGTGCTGACTTGGTGGTGGGCAGGGAGGTGTTTTCAGGTTTTTGTTTTCCACAAACATCCTTTTACATTTGTGTTATCAATTTTGCAAATATATTCATATCTATCTACGAATTTCTCACAGTTAAGTTGCTGGATTAAAGCAGAGGTACTTTTTAAACTTTGATAGATATTAACTTGCTTTTCATTATAATTATGCTCCTATTAGCGTCGCATGGGAATAGCTGCTTCTACATGCCTTTGCCCACATGGTATATCTTCATACTTTTTGTTGGTTTTTTTGTTTATTTGTTTTTCGAGACAGATTCTCAAGCTGCCACCGTGTGTGGAGTGCCCTGGCGTCATACCTCACAGCAACCTCAAACTCTTGGACTCAAGTGATCCTCTTGCCTCAGTTTTTCTATTTTTAGTAGAGACAGGGTCTTGCTTTTGTTCAGGCTGGTCTTGAACTCATTAGCTCAGGCTATCCACCTGCCTCGGCCTCCCAGAGTGCTAGGATTACAGGCGTGAGCTACCACACCCAGCCTTCTTCAGACTATTTGATCCTCTTAAATCTGATAAGTGAAAGATAATTTCTTCTTCATGTTTTGAGTCTAACGTAGGGTAAAAAGGCTCATTTCCTGTGATCAGTGGTCATTTGTACTTCTTATTCTATGTACTTGATGAGCAGTGAGTTGCCATTTTGTTATTGGTTTGTAGGAACTTTTCCTATGCTATGGGGGTCTGTCCTTTCTTGTCACTGTAATAGGCATTTCCCTGTCTGTGGCCTGAGTAGTTACACATCAGCCCTGTGGATGCTGAGCTTTTCTGCAGTCACCTCCTGAGTGTTAGCCAGAGTCTGGGTTTCATTTCTTGCTGAGGAAGGAGTTTGCTACTGATAAAAACATCTTCTGCTTTTTTGGACTCTGGAGCTCTCCTCTATACATCTGGACCTATAGTCCCTCTCAGACTTGTTCCCCTTGAGATGTAGTTCTAGCTGTGGTCCCAAGTGGGTACCCTGACCCACTGTGTTGGAATGTCAGGCAGCCTCAAAAATGTAGGGTCTAGTTTTTAGTTGTTCACCTGCTTGTCCAATTCTTCACCAATAACACAATTTTAAACTGTCATAGCTTTACATTTTAATATCTAAAGGAAAGGAAAGTTCCCCGTATTTTTTCCTCTAGATTTTCTTGATTATTCGTAAGCATTTTCTCTCTTATTTGTTTTATTTTGTCTGAGACAGAGTCTCACTCTGTTGCCCTGGGTAGAGTGCTGTGCTGTCATAGTTCACAGCAACCTCAGACTCTTGGGCTCAAGCAATCCTCTTCCCTCAGGCTCCTGAGTAGCTGGGACTACAAATGGCCACCAGGCCCGGTTAGTTTTTCTATTAATATTTTTTGTACAGATAGGGTGCTGGTCTCAGAATGGCCTTAAGCCATCTTCCCACCTCAGCCTCCCAAAGTGCTAAGATTATAGCATTTTCCCTTCTAAATGAGCTTTTGAATGAGCTTCTCAAGGCTCATTAAAATTTGCCTTAAGAAGTATGTTGGGCTCGGCGCCTATAGCTCAACCGGCTAAGGCGCCAGCCACGTACACCTAAGGTGGCGGGTTCGAATCCCCAGCCCGGACC